GTTTGTGCACTGAAATATTATATGAACATATAACTTACAATTACAATATAATCATCTGAAAAAATAAAGCCTAGTATTCAGTAGAACAATAATACCAATAGTCGTGTAAAACTTACAAGAAGTATTATTTCGGAACTCTGGCTTTAAAATCCCATGATTTAATCAGGGTATATTTTATGTTTATTTTGTTATATGTATTTTTGTATACTGTTTTTTTTAGGAGACATGAAAAATCTATTGCAGCATGAGAATGTTGTCAAATGGGTTGTATGCATTTAGTCCAATTTATAAAGAGTGTCTTTAAGAGTGAATTAGGGATTTAAGTTTAATTGATGTTTAACTCTTAATATGTTATTATTATCATTCTATGATATATACATACTAGTATAGTCTATAACTAGTTATTTGAAATTTTTTAATGACTTAGTAGTTGTTTTTTTAAATATTAATATTACCCAAAGTTCATAAATAAGCAAGAATTTTTTCATTCTGAAACCAGCGATTTTTTTATAGAAGAAACTAGGTATAAGAGTAATTCTACATAACTGCCTATATATATTTGAAACTACACAGTATTCTAAACCAGAAAAAGTGTTCATCTTCACCCGGTTTACGGTACTTATAAAAGTACACAACTTGTGATTTTTCTACGTAGGAAATCAATTGAACTTTATAATAGTAGTGTCATTTATTGGTGTCTGGATTAATCTTGGAATTTGTAAATCAAGTTACTTTCAATTTTTTTTAAATTTTAATTTCTATAGGCCTAATCTTTATAATTTTATTTATTTTTGTTTTACACTTTGACTATCTAATTACCACTTCTTTTTAGACAATTTAACTGTGAACAAAATGGCAAAAGAATTATTAATTTATTACCAAAGGTTTTCTTTCTATAACAATTAGAGTAAAAGTCTACAAATTCGGTAAAATTAATTGCCGACAGAGGGTGCTGCAGGCAGCGCATTAATTCCTTCCCCAATGGGTTAAAAGACCCATTTAGATACTTGACAATGTGTTAGTTGTCAGTGTGTAGGGCCTACCTGAGAAGGTGTGATGATGGTCGGCTGAGGCTGTTTAGGCGAGGGAGGGGTAGGTGCCGGGGGTGTTGGCTGTGGCGGAGGGGGTGGAGTAGGCGACTGTTGAGGTGTCTGAGTCTGCTGTGCGACTGATACTGGCGCCATGTCATCATCATCAATACCTGCAACAGAACGAGTTCATAGAAGTGATCTTGTGGTACACAAAAATATGGAATCACCAGAGAGACAACTCTGCTGATTATGAAAATGTTTTTTCTACCTCTATGTTTGGCCTAGTAAACAGTATCACTTGCAAGTGATATAAGAGGGATTAGAAGTTTCAATGACGTGAAAATTACAAATTGTTTATGCACACACCAACCTCCAGTTTACCTTACATATCAAACAATGCATTTTTTGTTGCTATAGCTATTGTTGATATGAGCATAACAGGTACATAATAAACACATGACATTTTTCTTCAATCTACTCTGTGAAGAAGTCCTAAATTAGGGTGAATCATGAGTGTTATGTTTGTGATCTTAATATAATGTAAATTACAGTATAACTGAAGTTATAGTCACTTTGCAATACCACATCAGAGATGATTTGACTAGGGTAAATATTCCTTGGTCAAATATTTACGTTTAAGAAATTGTGTGAAAACTTTTAAAAATAAAATGCTAAGTACAGAGAAGTACAGAGTATAGAATATTCCCAAATTATCAATTATGTACACTCTGTACCCTCAACATTGAGCAAAACATACCTGACAGTTTCATAAGATTCGCCAGGTCCAATCTCGTAGGTCCTTCATCCTCTTTTTTCTTCTTCTTCTTCAACTTGTTCTTTGGCGACGACGGCTGCGGAGGTGGTGTGGGAGTGGTTGGGGCAGGTACAGCTATAAGTGCTGGGCCCGAGGATGTCTGTATGTGTTGCAGTTGTAGAGTCTGCCCTGTGACCAGACGCACTAGTTGCGGCTGGGCCTGTGCGCGGGAAGGGTTGTGCTGTACCAGTACTGTGGGCTGCGGGCCATTACTGAGTACCACAGTAGGTTGTTTGGTTGTATGCTGGGGCGGTGGAGAGCGCAATATCAGCTGGACACCACTGCTGGTCTGCTGCTGGACCAACATCGGACCTACACCACCAGGGATCATCTGCAAACAAGACAGAATGTGGACCTGAGTATAAACTACCTCATTTCATTTTCATCGTTTCATCATTTTTACACCGGATATTCGACAGCAAATGGAAATATATTACTTTGTACAACACTGACACACATTTTAAAGTGAATAATGAGTGTGTGAATGGGATGATTGCTTTGTTACTGAGTAAGATTAACAGGTGGTTCTTTAGCCGACCATAAAAAACCACTGACCAATTGAGGTTAAGATAAACTAATGATTGATTTGTGTTAACCTTGATACTAAAAATAACTGAACTGAATTGATAATAAAATTTTATTGGATATTAAGATTTCACAAAAAAAGTGTATAAAAACTTTAATCAAATAAAAAACAAAGCAACTAATTTGGTACTTGACTAGTTGCAAACAATATTCAACTCAACCCAGCTTGACTGAAAAATCCACTTCTCGCACACCCCTATCTACTAGTTATTTACATAAAAACCTAAGCAATACAATGACCTTGTTGACAGTCACCTGATTGAGCAGGATAGTTTGCTGGGCGGGGGCAGGTATGGTGATGGCGGGGCTGGTAGACGGCTGTGGTGCTGATTGCTTGTTGGGGGTGGCAGCACTGCCCGGGGGCTTCGGTAGAATTTGTGGCGGCTGCTTTGTCTTCATTGTAGAAACGCCACTACCCACCCCTACTGTAAAATTATTATTAATTTTTACTTGAACAATATTAGCTATGTCTTGATATTTGCAAGGATCTACATTTCCTTACTATAAAGGGAGTGATTTATCAGAAACCAGCAGATACTTATCTCTGTAACCCTCGCAATAATATTTAAAACTATGTTCCAACAGTTTGTTTTGAAATGTATTTATCCTGATAAATAACCTGTTTCAATGATTCAAAATAATGTAATTTTCAATTCTAAGAAGAATTGCCCTTGTCTTTGAATACTGAAGTAGACATCTTATCTAAAACATCTGTAGCCCATTTTACACCAAAAAAGAACATAAATGTCCGCAGAGTGTGTTACAACCTTTAGTTTTTTGTGACCGTGAAAGTGACTGTAATATAATTACCGGTGTTCCGTGTCGCCTGCTGGAATATCTGCAGGACCTGTGGCACCTGAGGAGCCCCCATCACCTGGTGGTTGATGATGGTGGGGGGTTGAGGGGTGACGACTCGCTGCTGCTGGGAGGGGGACGGCGTAAGTCGTGAAGAGAAAGGCGACCCAGGCTTGACACTAGCCTGACCACCGACTCCCACGCCCACCTACATCATTCCGTACCATTCATTCCTTCCACTCTATTTACTACCATTCTTCCTTTTACTCTTTAATCAATTTTGTGTTGTGCTATAGCATAAAAAAGGAAAAACATATGTGAGAAAGTTTCACCCCTACCCTGTTTGGAAATCTACTTCTTTACCTCATCATCAATATTATATCAAAAGAATAATGAAAACTTACGGCAAAGTGCAACATAGGTTATAGAATCAATATGGTTGGTAAAAACAGGGCGACAGTATTCAGCAATCCATATAACCATATTAAATGGAAAAACCATCTTATTTTAATCCAATATGAATTCAATATTTTAAACAGGAGTGTATTTTAGGAATAGTTGAAACAAAAATAGTAGATTAAAAACAATCAACTGATGAATTGTTTATTAGAGTTCTTATTGCTAGCTTAGTGGTTAGCATCTAGAACTTAAGTGCAGAAATGGATAGCTAGGATCACCAACATATCCACAAAAATTCCAGAGGTTGGGACCGTCTTCATAAATAAATAATATTTTTATTGTCGTAAAACAATAATTATTAGCATTGACAGTCTTAAAATACAGTCAGAGCCAGACATAACCAACATGATTGGAAGTGAATAATCTATAGCCTATAACTAACTAAATCCAAAAGTATTTTTGATTGATTTATTTACTCTACTTAAAAATGAATACAATGCTAATAAAAAAAATATTTTAGAGAATAAAAGGGGTTGTCCAAAAGCCATTTGTAGAGTATAGTTTTAAAAAGTATTTTCACGATATTTTGGTATTACAGTCGGACCTCAACATCTTGAATTTGAAGGGGGTATGATAAAAATTTGAGTTATCAAGTTTTTCAAGTGAGGTTCGAGTTATGAAGGTGCTATACGAAATAGTTCGAGATACTGAGGTGTTGGGGTCTGAAAGTGATGTTATGTCACAGACTTTATAACTCAACTTTTACGTGCTAAACCTTTATAAATTTAACTCAAACTTTATACGTACTAAAGAGTAACTATGGAAGCAAAATAAAACAATTTTAATGCACATAAAGTACTGTATTTATTATTTAGCAATAATTGTAATTTATTGTTAACGCAGGTTCACTGGAACTTTAAAAAAAAGTAAACAACATAAAAACTGTACAATCTCCATACATCCAAATACAGTACTACAATACAAATAATGAAAAATAGCTGTGAAAAATACTAAGCAACAATTGTATATGGATACACAGTAGGTACTGTATTTATCATGTTTGGTGTTATTGAGGTTAAACGCAAGTCCTGTTTAGTAACATTGTGTAAGCCTAGTGTATGGAACAAGTTAATGAATAAGTTTGATAGAGTACATTAAAAGCCTACTAAACAAAGAAAAAAAGTCAAATACATACCTGTTGTATGCTGGAGGTGTGGCCGACCTGCTGTATAATACTCGCTTGGCGCACATGGTGGTGTAGTATGCTGTGTGTCGTGTGACCGAGGATCTCGGGGTAGAATGTCGGAGCCTGAGGTGTCAACACATACTGTCCGCCACCCTGGCCGTGCAGGGTCACCGTCACTGCCCCTCCCCCCTCCCCTACCCCCAGCTGCTGTTGTAACTGCTGAATCTGCGACAAACACAATTAATGTGGTACCGTAATAAACTATGTAGTAAACTTTGTTCAGCACTTATAAACTTACAGAGTACCAGTCCTTCGTACGGGGTTGGAATCTATATCTATAAAAGAGAAAGTATGTATGTATGTATGTATGTATGTACCCTATGAACTCCGAAACCGCTCGACAGATTGTAATGAAACTTTCAGGCATTATTGAGCATTATTTAAGTATGGTTTGTGTGAAGTTTGGTACAGATCCGTCGAAAGGGCTTCACCCTAGAGGGTTTTAAGGGGTCCAATGTCAAACTTTTAGAACTACAATGTTTACAAATAAATATAATTTAAAAGCAGATGTTTACTTTCACCTACTGTTTTGTAGGTTTAAAATAATCACAACATTCTGTATTAGTCATTATTGGAAATAATGCCACACTGTTTCCACAGAATGCAGCACAGAAAACTAATTTACTTTTGGATAATTCCAAATATATTAAACCCCAATCGCAGCAAACCTGTGCACTCAACAACGTTTAAATTCTCCACTATTAAATATTTAAACATAAAAGTAAAAACTTTTATCAAAGTAATATGAAAAATAAAATGGATGGCAATGCCTTAATATTTTTATCTTTTGTTCTATATTATTAAGTGAATAATAATCGTAAGTGCTATCTCAGGTATTGAAATGCCTCCCAATTTGTCAATAACCCACTACTTGACTGTCATTAAAAGAAGGAACTCCAATCATTCCAATTTCGAAACTTAAATCCACCCAAGCTATGCAACGGAACCAGACTGACGATTAAAAAAAATGACAACAAACTTGATTGAAGCAACAATCATCAGTGGTTAGTTTAAAGGAGAAATAGTCTTAATCCCAAGAATACCGATGATTTCCTCCGAATTACCCTTTGAGTTCAAGCGACTACAATTTCCTTGCTTTCACAATGACCATAATAAGGAACAAGTACAATCCCTGAGTATCAGTTTTATACTTAACTGCTGGTTGTATAAAATGCTTATTTCAGTTATGGGAGTGGACACGGTTTAAGAACATTTGGTTCTTATAATTTATATGGTATGCTATAGTATATAGCACATCTACCATAGCCATCATGTTCTACCACTGTACCTAAACCATAGAAAAAAGTAAAGTTCTCATTGTGCTTTTAAAGTTTAGCTTTTTGTTGCTAGTTGGTTGAAATTAGCTGTTGTCATAAATGCAAAAAAATAATAATAATAATAATAATAGTGCTGCACCCTGTTGGTAAACCTTATAACTTTTTTAATGCTTTTTTAATATCATAGAACCAACTTGTGCAGTTGAAACAGCTGACAAAATCCTTTAATTACTTTTAAATATGAAAACTCATGACATAAGGTAAACATGGGAAACTCCAGAGCCACTGGGGCGGAGCCCGAAAGGATTCTTGAGATAAGAATATGTCTGTATGTTAAGAGTCTTCCTTAGTGGAAGCCATGTTGGATTTCTTCCCCATAAGAACAATGTTAAACATTACATCATTTGTGGACACGTAACGGCGTTATTTGTTAAGATATAGCTTTGAAATTTATAATTTGTATTTTGAACGTAATAGACTCGTGACTGAGGTTTTTGAATTTCGAAAATCCATTTTCATTTCCTTTCAATAATTAGCTTAATTTTAAGCTAATTAATAATCAATTATTCATTATAAAAATTAAAAATTGTGAAATAAAAAACGTCAATCTCTAGAGGACCGCAATTCCTTAAATTTAACTCCTTATACATAATTATATGACAATTTGCTGATGAGATATTTGGACCCAAAGTTAACATTGTTCTTATGGGGAAGAAATCCAACATGGCTTCCACTAAGGAAGACTCTTAATCGGAAATGTGAGCTATCATCATACCAAATCTTAACCCTGTCGGTTTAGTATTTTTCGCGTTTACTTTTCACAAACATCCATCCATCCATCCAAACTCTCTCCTCACTTATAATATTAGTAGGATAAATTTTAAGGGGTTTTGTCAGCAGCTATATTGTTATTGTAGGCTATTTGTTTAACACGTTCGCTACCGCAATACCAAATTTTTCATTCACATAGACCAGCGACGCAAATATGCGACAGCCGGTTTCTATCCACAGACTGCCGTCGCGCACATTAAAATAGATTGATAACGCATATTTGCATCGGTGTTCAAAGGTTATCAAAAGGCTTATATCTTTGTAACGGTCTATTTGAAGGCACTGAATTCTCTGCGGTGGTCTACAGGGATGTCTGACGCACAACTGCGTCACTTGGTCTGTGGATATGATTATTAATGGCGTCATATGATAGTTTGAAAAACTGGTCTTTACTTTTCTTCATCACTGTGCAGTATGTATGCTGCATTATCCTATGTAGCTTTTATATTTGTTCCATTATAAACTGTTCTTGAATAATCTGTTGTTTTTAATTACTTTCATCTCAAAACATAAACAAAAATGAACTGTCGCATATGTATGTGGCGTTTGGGCTATTTAAAGAAAAGTATAATAATTTTCACTATTGTCTTCACTATAGACCGGGTGTCGCAAATATGCGACATTACAAAAGGTTATCAACAATATTAGAAAAAAGAATATCTATCTATATATATAATACGCTAAGCCGATTTTTGTAAACAGAACTCCTCCCTCATTTTTGGACCGATTTTGATAATTAAAGTGTCAAAAGAATGGCCCTGATCTGTAGTTTTGCAAAGTCTTTTTAATTTTTTTGAAATTTTTATTAGTTTGGGCAGGATCTTCCATCAAAGTTGGGTTTTCTCCCATAAGATTAACATGGGAAAATCTAAATATTTAATTGGAAACTTTGTCTCCACTAATTTGAGAGAACGGCTGGACGTGGAAACTTGGTAGAGGTGTCCAAAGAAAGGTCTTTGTCTGTAGATGAGTTATCAAAAGAAACACGAAGTAAATTCCCTTAGGGCTCTGCCCCAGAAGCCTTTAAAGATACCTCGACAAATTTGTTCACATTTTGGCCATGTGGATAATACTTTTTAATGAAACAGCTGTTGATTTTTCAATTGTGTTTTAAACAACACACATTTATTGGGAGTTACTAAATTGTCCAAAAAGAAGTATTTGCAATGCTATTTTCTGATTTTAAAATTTATTTTCTTCTGCATCATGTCATGTTTTGCAATATAACATTCCATTACGAAATCAGTGGAAATTCCTTTTATCACAGAACTCTTACAATAATTTCTTATTGAACTATCTTATATCTGCTGTACGGGCTGTTGTCTGCCTTTTCCCCCACTTTTGCCTATATTTTATCATATTATTCTACAGATCATCATAGGTTCACGAGATTATTGTTATACATGTTTTCAATCATTGGAAAAATTTTAGATTGTGTAATACAATACAAAATTGTACAATTGCAGAAGGGCACGTTGCTTATTTGAGCAGTGCCATATTTTGCTCAATAATAGTAGTTTACAGCAACTGGATAAAACATTTTACAATATTTTTGTAGAAATATGTGCATGATTTAGAAAGTCATTAAGCTGTAAAACTGCAATTTACTACAGAAGTTTCAGAGAGGTTACTTCGATGTTGTTAATTCAGCTTAGTGAAAACATAATATAGATAAGTATACAAATAAGAATTTGAACTCTTAGAGAGCCTTTGAATGTTATTAGAATAACGAAATGGGTTGTGCATGTTTACTAACGCTACTCAGCAACAAAAACCATTTAATTTATCTCTAAAAATATATTCTTAAAGTGCACTGAGCAGCAGCCTCGAAAATACTATGTAACTTACCCATATAGTTACAAAATGCTCAGACTCACATTGTGACATTTATAATTCGGCTTATATTTCTCCAGCAGATTATTTATCAGCAGAAGAAGTTTATTGTGCTCTTATCGTGTGTAATAACGTCCAAAAACAGAAACCTGTCCTAAAATGGTACCTATCTTGACAAATTACTTGAAGTGGTCTATATTACGGACCGTGGCTCACTGGGTTGTTAACATGATTTAAAATAACACAACATTTTTGCTGTAAAAAAGACACAAAGAGTAAATACTATTTAAGCAGCTACTGTCATGACAGAAAGGTCATATTCCTTTTAAACTAGATCACATCATCCTTTATAAGATACGTTGTTTAACAATGCATGTAAACGTCAATATTTAAGTAACAGCCAATTTACAGTATTTATTGTTTTTTCCAAATGCCGCATTGTTATGTAATTTGAATTATTTGTTGCCAATGAAGCCGCACAACCATATAAACGAGGAGGTCCCTAACAGTTCAAAAGTAAAAGCCAACTTCACTTCAAGTATATTCCACTACACCTAACTTTCCGTAGATGAATAATTAGCGTAAGCCTTTGACAGTGACCGTCGATTTCGACGGGTTTCACCTAGTATCATTTACATACACGACTGCAGTGTATTACAAAGTAAATGATTGCTGTTTAACAGGTTTTTGCCCGTGGTCTGTGTGTACTATTAACCAAGTGACAGCCGGTCTAAGTGTAAGATTAAATTGTATACCTTGGTCCGTGGCAATTATCGCGGCGTCGCATGTATGCAACGCTCGGCAGCGAACGTGTTAAGATGACAACATGATTATGACCTTAGAGTCAAAACAAGTAGGTAGTTGTTTAATAAAATGAATTTAATAGGTTACTAGTGTTTAATACTGCATTCAATTGTGTTGTGTATATACATACATATATGTCCGTGAACGTGATAACTTGAGTATACTACCATTGACTATACACAGAATGTTCTGTGTATAGTCAATGGTACTACACAAAGTCTGATCAATGGCCGAGTGGTCCAAGGTGTTGTACGTATCTCAGGGAGTCTTGTTTTGGTCAAGTTTGGTAGGTTTTAAATAATTTAGGGCTGTCTCAAAGTTAGTTAACAGATCAAAAATTATTTCTTTGATTGTTTTTATGAGTCAAGGGAAACATAATAAAAATGGGCATGATTAAATCATGAATAATTGATGAAGTTCAAAGGACCTGAGGATATTGTACAAAACAGTTGTGCTTACCTGCTGAGGTGTGAGCAGCAGCGAGCTGCCAGGGCGCCCGTCCAATAAGCTCTGAGGTAGCGAGTCCACGATGCCTTCCTTGTGCTGCACTCTGCAACAACCATCACAGCATACTTTAGAAGCACCGTACAAAATATATTTTTGAAAACATATACGAATAGTAGGGTTTAAATTTTGAGATATAGGCTGTGTGAATCATGGGAAAACTAGACCTACTGAGTGGTATTAATCAGTGTAGTGAAGTTAAATTTAGGCCTACCTACAAGGCTAAATCCAGATTAGCTTGTTGACATAAAGAACCCTTAAAAGAAGATGGATAAATTCTTTTGTCAGGTTCTCAACTTTTCTTCATACCTATGTATACCTAAATGTAACAATTCACTCTTCTAAGAACAAGAATTAGAACAAATACCCCCGCCGCAGCAAACCTGCAGACTAAGCAAATTTCATCTTGTCTGATTACATATTTTATAAAATATTTCCTTAAATAAGACATATTTATTCCCAATTTAAATAACATTAGATTTAACGAGTGCTTAGGTTTTCTGCTATGGGGAAGGTAAACAGTGTTTTTTGACCAACTGTCAATTAGTAGGCCTATAGAATGAAATAAATAAATTTGCCAAATTTGATCAACATATCCATAAACAAGTAGGCCTAAACTACAACAGTTTTCATTTTATCCATAAGAATAACATGGGAATTTTAAATTTGCACTTTTTTTAATTTTCTGTAACCATTAGACATACAACAATGCTTCAATATACTAAATTATTTATTTGATTAAGTTCTGCAAAATGGTTGGGAAAGAAATTCCAGAATTTTATGTTTTTAGGGTCAAAAATGGGAAAACCCCATTTTTATCCCATAAAACCCCGTTCACATAGTCCGATCATGCTAGTTCGGGAACTCGTTCGAATATATGTAGGTTTACACGTTTATACTAAATTTCATCAAGATCGGATGATTTTTGTTTGAGTTATTGTGTTAACGGACATATATATATATATATATATATGAATTTTAACGGGTGTTGTTTTTGGCCTCTGGGGACCTCTAAACGAAAAAGTAAATCGGTCCCGGGTCCAGGTCTTACCATGAGAACTACGGTATTAGCTTATTCCCTATAGGCTATGGGAAATTCGCTAAAAACACTTTCAAACGCCAATTTTGTTTGAATTGAAACGAAAATGAGCTAGTAAACCGAGTCTTTGACTATACAATCTGATTCATTAGAGTTATCGTATTTAATATACTCACAAATCCAGCACTGGAGGGCACACACACCAATGCTAAGCATATCTGAAACCAAAGTTATTCAGAACTAAATTAGTACTCAAATCTCTCTCTACCAGACAAACACATTAGCTACATCTCATCAAGAAAATTGAAAAAGTTGTCTACTTAGTGCTGTGGAAGCTACAATAATTTAAGTCTACATAAGCCCAAGACTAATCTTACTTCTTTAAACTATCTTACATAGGTCACTTAAAAACCCCCATACTTACAATAGGCTACGGGTCCAAGAGCGAAAATCGGAAATAAAGAGGCATTGCATGATTAAAGAATTTAATAGGCTTAAGGATCTTTATCCCCTCCTCGGCTACAGATTCATAAATATTAATCAAGTTAAGTTTATTCTAAAAGTCCATAAGCCACCAGTGCTTCAATGCAACAATGCTTCAATATACTAAATTATTTCTTTTTTTAAGCTCTACAAAATGGGAAAAACCTATTTTTACCCCATAAAACACCGTTCACATGGTCCGATCATGCTTTTTCGCGGATTCATAATTAATAACCATTAAGTTTACTCTTAAAGTCCATAAACCACCATGTTGGGAAAAAAAACAATTTCTCGGATGTAACCTAAATGGAGATGATTGGTCTGCATCTTAAGAATCTATCAGTTTGCTGATAGCAGACCAGTGGGGCCTAATTTATGCAGAAAAAATCATTCTAAGGAAGCAGTGGACTTAAGAACTGGGCTGGGTAATGTTAAAATTAGGCAAATGTAATGGAGACTGAGTCATCATCAGTCTTGTAGCTGTAGCAAAGTTCAAACTAAGCTACAAGTTAAATCATGTAGTCAGTGAACCTATGGCGTTTTGGCAAAAGACTGGCTGGTTTATGCTAGATTAGAAAAGTAAGGTTACATTAGTTAATGCTGGTTTGGAAAGAGGTGTTTTGCCTTGGATTTGGCATCATTTTTAACTTTTTCACAGCGATCAAAGCTCTTTTCACAGTGATCGATGTGGAAACCTAGAGACTAACTAAATCATAAGTTTAGGCCTAAATTATTCAATATACATAACTACCTGCAATAAGTACAGTAGAACCTCGCTAATCCGTCACCTACGGGACCGGGAGCATGGTCGGAACAGCATAAAGGCCGGATTATCAGAGGAACGTTTTCATTGACATAAAACGTAGTAAAACTGTATTTTGAACAGACCACGGAGTCGGATAACTATGGTTTGTCCAACAGGACATAAAATGGTTATTTCCAACTCATAAACAACGCCTAATACTAGCTGTAAATGGACTTTAATGTGATAAGTTTGCATTATATTAGGTACGGTACATCATAAAATTACAATTAGTAGGCCATTGCGCAATCATGATAAATACGTTACCTAGATGTCATTATCCTTGGTTCAGTAATAAAAAATGTAACGTTTAAAATCACAGCTTTTTCAAACTTTTACTCAAACAAAGAAATAGCCAAACACTGTACAGCAAAATAAAGAACAGAACAGAAAGTCTAGTAACCTAGCTAGTCATAGGTTACTGCTACGCTTTTTCAATACAGAAGAATGTTGATAAAAACAATAGACAAAAAATATAAAAGTAGCCTATCAAATAATATATAGTACACTTATAAAATCATCGCTTTTTCTTTTAATCTTTTTTATTCTTTCTTCAGTTTCTCTTCGTCCACCCATTCAACATGTTTCCATGGTTACTAAGTTATCACCCAATCACAGGCTACTAAAGTGTTCATGATTACCAAATACCCAGTCACAAAATGTTGAGACATAGCAAACCCACAGCAGACAGATACATCTGATACACATGTGTCATGTATAAGCCTAAAAGGAGAAGACTATTGTCAGTGCCAACGGATAGCTTTACCTTGAAGCTTTGATCGATATTCCTTGTTTAGCTTCCATTTTATTTTTGTCAAATGAACTGTGATTTTTCAAAAACAATAATGTGGGAGCCTACTTAAAATTAATAATGGGCAGAAATTGTTAGATGTAACTCACAACGAATTTCGGCACATCATACCCTACATTACTAAAAAACACAATTTATGAAGTTTTCTAGTTTTTTTTTTTTACTTGGACAATGAGGTTATGTTAGCGGAAGCCTAACTTATTGTGTTGGTGGCACAGTCTGACCAAGCGAGGAGTCGGACCATCGGAGGTCTGATTAGCTAGGTTTTACTGTATTGCATTAGCCTACAGCTTATTTACCTAAACTTACAGTGGGTAACTTATTTACCTAACTTAGGCTAAGTTATTTAGAAGTTTAGATCCTAGGTTTTTTTAACAGAGAGCCAGGCTTATAAGTAGGCCCAAGCATGATGAACCATCGCAGCTGAAACAGCTTAGTGTGCGCACAAGAGATCCTAAGCTACTGACACATTCAAGTTGAAAATTGGGCCTATGTTAGTAAGTAACCAATTTCAGAGTGTCATATTAAGATCAGGTTAGGCTGTTTAAAATTAGGATAATCAACACGCAAGGTAGGCTAGGCCTACTAACAGACTAGCAAGCAGGGAATGCCTTGGCTATTCGATTTTGGTCTCTTGAGGTTAGAATTTTAGAATTAAGACCTCAGGCCTTGGATTGATTAACAAACTAAAAAGTATTAGGCTACAGCCTGTATTTAAATTAAAAATAACTTTATAATAAGCTATTATGTCAAACATATAAGTTTTATTCAAATACTACGGTAGGCCTACTGTATGCTCTACAGGACTAAAAGGCTAGGGCCGTGTTCTCTGAGGTCAACATGAACAAAGACAAGAAAATTATAACTGAAATATTACAAACAACACAATTTATGTCATACTTACAACTATTCAGTACTATTTCATGCTGCATTTAAGTTATGAACTGCATGTTTACTACACGATAATTATTACAAAAATCACTATTTAAGAATAACAATAAACAAACGGGTTTAATACAACAGCACATCTCCATAACGAAAATTCGAAACTATCGCGTAAACATAACCATAAACGAACACATTTCTGTCATTAGATTTTAATTTACAATTGTACACTTCATTCTCACTTTAACTTCAAGACGCATAATTAATTACGATATTGATTAATGAAACAGCGATTCACAATCGCGTTGATGCTTGAGGTTTAACAAACGGCCATCTTCATTTTGCCTTTTGCCAATGCCATTGCCATTACAATGTTGCCATAATCGCAGAATGTTTAGAGAAGCTGGAACAAATGCTGCCAACCGGATGACACAATAGTCAAACAAGAAGATGCCTTAAATTATTTGTTTGATAATTAAAATTGTTAATGATTCAATAAAAAAACAATTTGCATAAATGAATGCAAATGAACTGCTTTGGAGTTTAATGGACTTCATTTTAGAAGTTAGTTATTGTACCAAAATTGCAATAAATAAAGATAATAGTGATGTTATTTCTTTGAAATTCCTTATTTCAAATTACTGAATTTGTAATGCAATTTAGTTTAGTACAATACTGCAAGAAATAAATGTGATGGGATATTTGCCTCAATAAAAAATAAAAAATAAATAATTTATTTATTCCTTATTAGGCTATGACAGATAGGAAAATAAATCACAGGTTAACAAAGTTTGTTTTTTGTGCATGTAGCCAAGTTCCATTTATAAATATTATGACATACGAATCGTATTTCAAGCTCAGTCTCCATAAATTAAGGTATAATATTGATTACCTAGGGCTTGGTAAATAATCGTTCAAATAATAATTCCGCTTTCATGGCAATGTCGGGGGGGGGGGGAAGAACAAGCACAGGCAGCAGAAACAAATCTTTATTATAGGTAGTTGATTTACGGGACCTAATTGTCCTGTCTTAGATGGATGGGATCTTTTTTGTAGCCAGTCTAAAATTGAACTTTAGCACGCTCCCCTCTAACTTCTAATGATTGCGAAGGCCGTCCAATAAGCCTCGGGTGGGTAGAGATGGTAGGAGGGGTGGCACAGAAAACACAGTGGGGAAGAGAGTGGAGAGGGGAATCAGGAAATTGAAGGCGGGGGGAGGAGGGGTTCCCTAGTCCCTACTACAGTGATCACTAGCCAGGATTCAGCTCACGTGAAGATAACGCGATCAGTTTACTTTGTGGAACCGTGCAGTCACTTCAGTGAATAGTATTTTGGTGCTAATAAAGTGATAAAGTTAGTGTTGTGAAATCAAGGTGTTCTCACGGATGACCGAACCTTGTTATCTCCTTTGTGTATCAGAGCAAAGATTAAATTCACTAATTATTCATAGTAATAATTCTATAGTGCATTGTTTTATAGTGAATAGATAGTAAGAGATTGTATATTTGATCGTTTGTACTATCGGCAAGCATGCAACCCGTATTCTCTACAAAATGGTATGAACAAAATGCGTAATCAGAAAACACTTACCCGTGGTGTAACGTGCCTATGTCCTACGGGGCCCACAGAACACAAAACAAGTATTCCGTTGCTCCTATTGGACATGACGTCACAAACACAAATGCAGTGCAATCGATGGAGTGACATGAGTCAGATTAAAGCTTAACTAATCAATTTAAATAGTTTTTCATGAAGTAACATGATTCTATTTAAAACAGTCATTAGTTTACCGGTTCATATGTGGAGTTATTTTCTAATAATAGTAATGTATGATTTAATTGTTTGTTTCAATTAATATTTAGTGTGGCGTCAGATGTGTTCCGGATAAAGTAGTTCACGGATTAGATTTTGTTTCTGAATCCACGGAGGGAGGCATGGCATAGCGGGGTTCATGTTTTGCATTTTTAGAACTGGAGGGGCTTTCTGGTAACTAAAACCATGAAATAGATTAGAAGGGAGGGAATTTGATTGAAGGTACGATGGAAAGTTCAACATAGCCGTGGTGGGGTGGGCGGTGTCTTGCGTCCGACCAATGGCGTTCTGGATTTGATATGGAGGGGCGTGGTTTATTTTGATTGCACACATTCATGACAATATCCTAAAAACGGATCTCGTTTCCTTTCTTTTTCTTTTCATGTATTAGATCTTCAAAGTACAGAGGAGTTTCTTGCGTGGTAGTTCAAAGTACCATAACCATAGCATAGGAAGCGAAGCCGCCAGTCTTCTCCTTTCTCCTTTTCCCCGTAGTGAATGTAGTTTCGTCTGCCCTTCCATTCCTATCGTCTGCGGCTCTTCATGTTTATTTATGCTATGTTTTAGTTTACCATATGGCGTTCTCTAACCCACGAATTTGAAATAGGCCATTTATCTTTTTCCTCCTAATAAATTTCATTGTTTAAAATTTACTGTCTCTTGACAAAGATTTGTATAGGATAGGCCTAGCCTGTTTGTCGATTTATCTTGGTTGACCATTAAAAATAGGCTAACACATTCTTCTTCTGCCTGCAATTTAGAAGACTAGGCCTAGGTCTATCATGTATATTTTTTTAAAACCCTAAACCTATAGACTAGCCTAATAATTAGTGGCTGCACTTTAGTTTACGTCCTACTCTCATTCGAATGAATATAACGATCGATATATCGATTATTTCATTCAATAGGCCTATAACTTAAACAAGTTTGGTTAGTTAGGTTAGGTTAACCTAACTAACCGAATGAAATAATTGATTTATCAAATAATCTATATAAGTTATCGATATATTCATTTGAATAAGTGTAGGACGTAAACTAAAGTGCAGCCAGTTTAACAGGTTAGTTAAAAACAAAGGTAGGCCTAGTTAAGAAGTTAGTTTAAAACAGTTTCCATTTTTTAATCCATCTTAAGTTTATGTATTAATTAAGTTAACCTAAGTTATTTTGCCTAAACTGGGATCAGTTGTCAATTTGTAATTTAAATGCTTTTAAAGATATACAATGAATACAATGAATTTATTTGGCCAATCAACAACAAAATTGTTACAGGCTATGTCAATGTACAAGCATAAAATAAAATAAATATCAAGACTTAAAAATCAAACCAAGCAAAGATGTGCATGCACTATGCAAAAACAGCAAACAGGCTGTTCAGAGGAAAACTTAACTAAATACAGTTTCAAAAAACTCTTTGAATTTGAAAAAAGGATAATTTGAAAAAAGGATAAAAAGGAATTTGAATATAAAAACAGTAGGAGTATGGATCGTAAAGGAAAACAAAAATATCGATACCGGTATAGCCTATAACAAAATCATCGATTAAACTTAAAATATGAGCTATTAATTTACAGCTGTGTTTAAAGAATAAGTCAGCCTTATTTACTAACAAGACTACAAGATCGAGCCACTCATCCTACACTCATCTCCATTCATACTAACTTGACTTAAAATATCTAATGGTCGCCATTTCATTGAAAGCTATTAAAACATTAATGAATGTCCCCTTTAACAGGAAAGTAAGTTAACTTAGCTTACCCTTATTTCAATCTACTACCTATCTTAAGTGACTTTTTCTGGTGAACGCTCAAGTTTCATGTGTAAGGCAAACCCGAACACAGGAACAGCACATTCCATATGTGAGGGTTGGTTTAAACTTGATGTAAAAAGGCGAACACGAGGACAGGAACAATTGGAGTGAATGCTAGAAGGTCACTTTTGGTGTAAGTTATGAATCTTATGCTTCTGATTCGTGGATACTTTTAATCATGATGAAAAAGAACATAGGCTACACACAGATTAGATTGGTAGACTACACCTTTTGAAGTAAAATTAAAGCTATATAGTAGAACCTCAATCGACACTTGACTTAGTAGACTAAGGGGGTGTCGAGCTAACTTATCGAAATGTCGGACTAGGCCTAGGAAATATGGAGAAAATGAAGTTAGACATTTAAGTTTCACTCAGGTAGTATTTAAAACGTGAGATGAATCAAACAAATTTGTTGAATAGGCCTACTATTTAACTTGCTTAACTCCAAATAACTCAAAAGGTCAAAAACGATTTAATAATTTGTAGGCCTATACCAATTAAAAGATAAAATTTCAAACTTTTATTTTATTACATTTAAGTTAAATGAACTTTCCCTAAGCATAACAAAGAGGTCAATGTAATTTAGCACAAAAGTGAACAAGAATTGCGAGTAAAATCAGTTGCTCCATGCAAGTTACGCATCACTAAACTGCCAAACATGGTGTGTTTAGAAGAATCAATGCAAGGAGTCAAAATAACAATGCAGTCACTTTTTTTTGTGAATTAATGTGTTGTGAAGTGGCATGAGCGACCTTAATAGGTATTCACAGTTGTAAACATAATAGCCTATTAAAAAACTTTTGCAAAACTTATGACAGCTAGCCTGGCCATACTACTAGACCAAATTACACGTGGGTTGTAAAAAAAAAATGGTTATCGGTCCTATATGTGCAGGTTTTATTTGAATTTTGAAAATATTTATGTTAGTTGGATCAAAAATGGTAATTTAACTATTTAAATATTTAAGCTTATGGCAGCCGACCATACTACTGGCATAGATGGAAGTAACTTTATAGGCTACAGTATATGCTACTGGACCGATTTAGACGCGGGTTGTACGAAAAGAGCGGTTATCAGTCCTATATGTACAGATGTTATTTGTATTTTGAGAATATTTTTGCTAGCCTAATTGGGTCAAAAATGGAAATTCAACTTTTCTTATGGAGATTTATCATGGGGCCAAATTTTTTATCTTACGACAACCACCCTGACCATACTACTTGACCGATTTACACGCAGGTTGTACCAAACCCGCAAACCAAAAGAAAGGTTATCGGTCCTATATATGCAGGTTTTATTCTTTTTTTAAGAATATTTATGTTAATTGGGTCAAAAATTTAAATTCAACTTTTCTTATGGAGATTTAACATGTGGCTAATTCTATGTAGCCTATTAATAGAGAAGCATGTTTATAAAAAACCTGCAGTGGAATTCTCTGTTTTTTTCTGTTTTTTTTTGTATCGTATCTACCTGAAAAATGATTGTATTTTGAATATTTTTACATTTCTATATAGGGAAGTAAATTAATTTAACATTTTTTCTTTCTTGGATATCACGTAAAACTATTATGTTCATAAAAAAATTATCGTATCTACCTGAAAAATTATTGTATTTTGAATATTTTTACATTTCTATATAGGGAAGTAAATTAATTTAACATTTTATCTGTCTTGGATAT